AAGTCAGGGCCGACGCCACCGTGTCGCGTCCGGCCAGCATGAAGCTAATTATGATGTCTCGCAGGTACTTTTCGTCATCGACGCAGGCCATGAATCGAGAGAGGAGATCGTGGTTCGAAGAGAAACCGATCTTCCGTCGCTGGCGAATGAGCTCGTTCGCGAGGAGGTTCACCATGCCGATCGCCTCCCGGAGCTCCCTTTCCGATCCCCTGTTGAGAAGCCGCTTGGCTTTCCATACCATGGGCATCGTCGAGGTCGCCCGCGAGGCCGATAGCCTGGAGGCCTTGTCGAAGGCCGCCGCGAACTCGGACATAGGCAGCGACAGCTCCAGGCAGCCAGGGTCGATCCCGAACGAGATCTTACATATGTTATCGAACGCGAACCTCCGGAACACGTCCTGCAGGTCGAGGATCTTATCGTCCGCGCTGGAGACGTCGAGGAGGGGGAGGAAGCGACCGCGGACCTCGTCGGCCACGATGCAAGAGGCGAAGAAGCGGACGGCGCTGCTGCCGAGCTCGGCGCCGGCCATCTTGCGCTGGAAGCGCCAGAGATGGCCGTCGACGTTGAAGATGCCGCGGCCGAGGAGGTCGCCGAGGATGGCGGAGAAGGTTTTCCCCTTGGGGTAGTTGTCGAAGCGGGCACGAAGCATGTGCTCGACGTTGTCGGGGTTGGCCGTGACGGTGTTCCCGAGCACGTGGATGTGGATGGTGCGCGTGGGCGACTCCCGGAGGAGGTGCGCGTACCAGTCGCAGAGGTTGTCGAAGTGGGCGGTCCACGACTTGGTCACGTACGCCTCGCACACGGGGCAGCTGCACCACCAGGGCATGGACCTCAGCGCCTTTAGCACCAGCGCGAGGAGGAAGAAGGCGGCGGCGAAGGAGAGGAAGAGGAGGGAGAACAGAGACCGAAAGGCTTCCACTGTTTCCTCCATCTCCTCCTCCTTGTGCAGTCAAGAGTGTGGAAGGATAAGAATCAAGTGAGAGGAGAGAGACGGTTCGGGAGCGTTATTATAGTGGGGATTCCATGGCCATTCTTATGGTCGATCCACGATCCAGACTTATCTTGTGGGGGAAACAAGACATAAATGGCGTAGGATGATGGTGCAATAGTATATAATCCATAATAGTGCATTCGCAAGTCATCGGCCGTCACTCCTCATCTCATTCGTAAATGGTCTACATCGCACAAAGCTTAACTGATCCCAATATATCATTTCACATCCAACTATTCGATTACTTACGAGTAATTCCTTCACATCTTTTGTATGTTACTCTTTGTCTTTATCTTCGTCTTCGTTCACCGATCCTCGTCTCCAATTCCGACACAGACACCATTTACACGGACGACCAAATGGCCGAACGACCACCGCCACCCATTGGTTTCAGGCTGCGGTCCCCACAACTTAAATCATCTGTCCCCAAAGACCTCAGATGTATATATTTATTTACCAAGATAAAACGAGTCAACAAATCATCTAAGCTATATTAGAGGAGTATTGAAGCTATTTAATGCATATTATTATAGATGACAGCCGCGCTCGTGACGAAATTGTCATCGTCGCTTCCTGGCTCATGTTGTCGTATGCGGGTTAATATGGATCCCGGTTCGCATGCACTGTTGGTGTAACCAACTTTTAAGCCGTGGTCTCAGTGCTGACGTGGCTTGGTTCGGGTCCGAATGATAGGAGATCTTCCTGGGATGACCCTTGAGACTGCAGAAGACCGACTACGGTTGTCCGATCGCGAAGGGGTCAATGTTTCCTCTGAGAGGGGCTCCTCGTCTGAGCGTTTAGTGGGAGGCCTCCGTCTTCGCACCTGCACACAGGTCGGGTCGAGGGAGCTCGACCTGACCCCTCCGATGATCAAGTCAGTGAATAGTCACAGAGGTTTTTGGTTGTTCTCCTTTCTCCTCCTTCTTTCATTTCCTCGGAGTGCGAGGATTTTTATAGTGAATGTTACCATTGCCTGATGTGCCCGCTTGCATAGAGCAGGATCGTACTCCTGGTAATGTTTGACATCGATGTTGGTGTGGCGTGAAGGATCGAGCCTGAGCAGGATGCTAATGAGCCTCGATCAGTGTTTCGGTCCGTGTTGACATGGTTAACAGAGGTGCGAGACGTCATCTGGGACAGTTGACGTCAACCCGAGTCTTATCGCCATTATTATCCTCATCGTGCATCAAATTTGGCTGCATAAAATGGTAGGTCTAATTAGCTGCTCCTCTCAGTAGTATATTAACGACATTACGTGTCGTTCGAGGTAGCTGGTGGCTGGAAGTGGTAGTTTATGAGAACGCTCACGTAACATCCATTCGTATGCAGTAGCAGCAACAGCAGCGATCGATCCTTATCGCTCCGTTGGGTGTCTCCTAGTTCATGCGTGTGTGTCTCTATGAGCTACACGTACGCTACTATTATTACTATTTTATACATACGTACCTACATGCCCAAACAACCATGTCCACCGCTCATGTGAATACGATTCCATCACCAGCAGTTTGAATATGTGCTCGGTGATGACACACCGAAACGATTCCCTTCATCATGAACGCACACAGGCGGTACAATATGCATTCATGCTGCTAACAGTGCGCGTATATTTTATGCGTGCATACAGCCAATCGTACCTGTGCGAGTCATGAGGCCCGTAAATCTCGCTGGGACCGCCACCTCCTTCCGTCTCTCCGGATTCTTAAATGGAAAGGCGGTGGGCCATCGAAGTGTTTGGGGGCTGTCACTGTTGCTTTTGGTGGCCATGCCACCTGCAACACACTAATATATTCATGGGTTATCCTGTTGTTTAAGATGCCTTTTGATCGGCGACTTCATGCACGATATCTATGTGTACATACATATATGTGGATTGATTGATGATGCATTTCTTTAGATCTAAGCTTTGATTCTTTACGTTTCCGTGAGGTCCCCTTACCTTTTGTGTTTTGTGCAGTTCTATCCATGGCTGCTGCGGTTTACAGTTGCATCATAGAGCTTAGAGCGTTCTTGAACTGATGTTACGGGGTGACGAATCAGGTGAACGAGCACGGAGAGCACCGGCGGCGTACAGCCCTCAGGTGCAGCGACAGGCAAGACGTATGGATCGATGTCAGATGTGGAGAATCGTTTAGCGTGTATCTGATCAGATGAGAGAGTTGTGCTGAGAGGACATGACCTTTGTTTTGTGACACCACAAACTCATGAAGCATGTGACTTGATTCCCACATGAAACTTGGATTTCACCGCACAACCTCGTTACAGCAGCTAGCGAGGTGGGTGGAGCTGGGAGAGAGAAGTGCAAGCAGCATGGTGAATCTAGGATAGCCTCAGTCCTGAAATATCTATTATTATTTTTCCAATACAATATCAGAATCAATAGACAGACAATATTTGTTTTAATTACATAAAAAACCGAGTTTGGTCGAATGAGAACGAGTCATATCATGATATATAGTGAGCCATTGGTGAATTATCAGAAAAGATGTGATGAACTATTACTATAAACTCAAAGTTAAGCATACCAGTTGGTGTCACTGCCAACATTCAGTTCAGGAAGCAGTGACTATTGATACCATTGAGAACAATTCAAATGTATCAGTTTGTCAATTTTTTATGAGAGAAATGTAGTATGGGCATTTGGAGGCCACACGAAACACTTTTGTCATCGCTCTCCGTTTACATGTTAAGGCTAAGAATTGAATGGTATGGAAGACGGGAACTACGAGAGGGATTATCCAATCGAAAGCGAAGTGAGGCATCTATAAGTGACAATGGGTGATTGTAGTAGAATAAGAATCTTTTATGCATTTGTTCCAAGTTAATGCAGGAAGCTATTACGTATACTATAAAAGTTCCAAGAAAAAAGGAAAACCAATATGAGATTTCTATTTTTTTTTTTGTTTTTTGGGGTGATGATAATTTTAAATTTCAACGCCATTATGTTAAGGATCATCAGCCAAATGAGTTGGACTACAGTAAGTTTCTTCGTTTGTTTGACAAATATTACGCACGACCCATGAACTTATTATGATGTTGCTATAGGACGAGCTCATGAAAGAAAAGAGAGTAAAAGATGAAACCTGATAACCAGTAGTGATCCGTCCATTCTTAACTTACATGAAGCCTTTCTGCACGCATGGCAAAGCCACATGCATGCGAAGAAACCATCACATAAAATATCCCTCGAGAGACTTGGACGTTCTTCAATGGTTCCATGGAATCTTGTGCCGCCCACCGGTGTTTTCTTCTTCCGAATGCAGACAGAACCCAGGTGGGAACGACATCCACAGGCGCAGCCGCGGCATCTCTCGAAAGGCTCATGACTCCTTCCCGCTTCCTCCCAACCTGTCTCTTTCATTCTTTCCTTTTTATTTATTAAGATAATATATATTTCTATAAATTTAAGAAACAAAGTTTTCAATCATATTCTTATATAATTAATTTTTAAATTATAAATCAATTGAGAATTTTGATGTATAAAGAATATAAAATTATCATTCCATATTTACTTTTATTATGATCTTTCATTAGCTTTCGTCGAGAATATCAATCTTGGATCGATTTAACTAAAATACCTTACGAGAGAGAGGCTCCGTAGGAGAGTTAGTTAGTCAAAAGTATAAGTATAAACGTGAAAATTTCGTAGTTGACGTATAACAACTTTGATCTCTAAAAAAGTGAAAGTCGATGAAACAACATTTGAAACAAAAATGATTAACTAAATGATTTATAAAGCTAATGACTACTTATAGATATTATCTTTATTTTGATCCTAGACCAATGATACTCTCGTTCTTAGATCCTCTATTGTAGTACTACATGAAGAAATTAATGATGCTATAGAGTAAATAATTGAGATTTGAATAACTTACATAATAAAACAGTCTTGACGTAATCATAATTTATAGTTAGGATTTTTCATTAAGGTTGATTATACTGATATTTTAATATTTTCGAATAGACAATTGAGCGAGCTATTGACATAACTTAGTAAATCATATCAAAAGAGAACGTCAATGAACTAAGCTCACCAAAATATATAATTGTCATTTATGAAAAGTTTAAAGGGGATCAAAGTTGCTACATTATTAGATATGAGTTAGATATGGATCCTATAGGTTAAGAAGAACTATTATTCCATATAATCATAAGAGTGTTAAAGTGAGAAGAGGGTGGCGCCTTAAAGCAAAAAACCAAATTGATTGTAGCGAGAGTTGCAGGTATAATAAAGATTATGAAAGAGGATGATTTTATTTAAAATAATATATATTTATATATATATTTGAAGGAGAGATTTTTATCAACTATGTGCTTAAATCTAAATCAAAGAAGAAGAACTAAAGGTTGTTAAGTAGTTGGAAGAGAAGACATGAGGAAGGAGAGGGTGGCGCCTTAAAGCAAAAACGAAATCGATTGTAGCGAGAGTTGCAGGTATAATAAATATTGTGAAAGAGGATAATTTTATTTTAAATAATATATATATATATATATATATATATATATATATAATTTGATTCTTAAATCATAAATTAATTGAGAACTAGAATAAATAAGAAATACAAAACCTATCGTTCAATATTTATCTCTCTCATTATATTTAATCGTATCACTTTTAAAAGAGAGATATTTAAGACCTATTGGTTATATAATAATATACTAATCATTTCTCTCAACAAAGATACAAAGTCTGATTTCTTAAGTATTGATAAGACATATTTTACCTCCAAGACATGTCATGGCTAATGTCGCATGTCATGTCAGAATCCGTGCTCCCAAGACACTGTTCGACATGTCTGGTCCCGATAATCCCGGGACGGCAACGCCCCGCACACCGAGCCAAAATCCATACTGATGCCATGTTGTGCCCACCACGCCAACCCGCGTACGACCGACCCTCTTACGGCAGTATAAAGACCTCGATCCCAACCTCCAGTAGGGGGCAAGAGAAAATTAACAAAACCTATTACTAACTTGCTCGTCGGAGGGGCCAAAGTCGGGAATCACCCGACGAAGATCGTTTTTACGGGAAAGTAGCCCAACCTCGGAAGCTGAGGACCGGCGTCCCCACGGCAGGCCATTGACCAACCCCGACTCGAGGACCTAATCGGCCCCGATGGCCAGCTTCAGTCGACAAGAGGCTCCCAACATCGACCCATGAACCAAGTCGTACTGAGTCATCAGCCACGGCACATTCCTTCAATAACAAGTATTACTCTTACCAGCTCATGTAATCAACGGCGGATAATGGAGTCGGACTAAGGTTTGAGTTGGTGAATCTAATTATTGAGTTGGATCCAGATCCGGATCCGGATGAACAAACACGTGCTATTCACATGTCCTCTCTGGAATCTGCACGCTTATCACCACTCTATTCCATCGCTATCATCTCAGGATCACGACCGTCCATTTTATTGCATCCTCGATGATACATGATTCAGCTTTGTGGGTAACGCCATCACCATCACCATTTCCCTCGCCCACCGGTTCTGATTCCATCTACCTCTGCAGACGTTACAAGCTCTCATGATTCCCAGGCCTCTCTCGAGGTCAAGAGGCAGCGTAAACAGCGATCGAACACTAGGGACCGCCGTCAAACACCTTCTCGACCCTCCCAACGAGCCGAGTCCCCGCGGTCTCTGCTCTCATCGCCAACTGTTCGACGGAAGCCCTCTTGAGAGCCCTTCCCCGTGGAACCGCCTGCTCTTCCGGCACTCGAGGAACAATCTTAACAGAGAACCTCTGAGTTTGTTCCTGGAGGCTCGGAGGTCTGGGCAGCCCCTCGACGATTCCTCGCTCTCGTGCGTTCTCAAGGCTTGCGGATGTTTATGGGATCGAAACCTTGGCAGGCAACTGCATGGCCTCTGTGTGAAATGTGGGCACGGATCGGGGGTCGGCGTTGGCACCTCGCTGCTTGATATGTACCTCAAGTGTGATGGCGTGGATGATGGAGTGAGAGTGTTCGATTCAATGCCTGAGAGAAATGTGGTGAGTTGGACCTCTTTGCTCACCGGGTATTCTCAAAAGGGACTCCATGATGATGCATTTGAGTTCTTTTCCCGGATGCGATCCGAGGGAATTAAGCCAAATCCTTTCACTTTTGCCACTGTTCTTGCATCGGCCGCGGCTCAGGGAGTACTTGAGAACGGAAGGCAAATGCACGGCCAATTGATCAAATTTGGATACCAGGGTACAGTGTTTGTGTGCAATCCTCTGATCAACATGTACTCCAGGTGTGGTCTAGTCGAAGAGGCTCGAGCGGTCTTCAACCGCATGGTGAACCGGGATGCTGTTTCTTGTAATGCGATGGTTGCAGGCCTTGTGTTGAATGGGTACGAGTCTGAAGCAGTGCAAGAGTTTCGTCACATGAGAGCTGCCGGCCTGAAACCGACACAGTCGAGCTTCGCTACCATGATCAAGTTGTGCGCTAATCTTAAACAGCTCGCGTTTGCTCGACAGCTCCATTGCTGTGTAGTGAAAGAAAGGTTCGACCTGGATGCCAATGTAATTACAACACTGATGGTGGTTTACAGTAAATGCAGCGAAATGGATGACGCATTTGAACTTTTTTCCATGCTGGGAGCTCGATCCGTGGTCTCATGGACTGCTATGATCAATGGGTATATACAGAATGGACATGTCAGTCGAGCTGCACTTCTCTTTAGTCAGATGAGGTTAGATGCTGTTGAGCCGAATGATTTCACCTACTCTATTCTATTGACGGCTTCGCCTCAGATATCTCCCTTCCAAATCCATGCCCAGGTCATCAAAACCAAATTCCAGCAAGTCCCTTCTGTAGGCACTGCTCTGCTCGCAGCATATACTAAGCTAGGAAACACTTGCGAAGCCTTCTGTGTCTTCAGGGGGATTAAAGAAAAGGACATTGTGGCATGGTCTGCAATGCTAGCATGCTATGCCCAAGCAGGTGATTCTGAAGGGGCAGTGAAGCTGTTCACAGAGATGGCTAGGAAGAGTATCGGAGCAAATGAGTTCACCCTCTCCAGTGCGATTGATGCATGTGCAAGTCCAACAGCTTCAGCAGATCAGGGGAAGCAGTTTCATGCCATTTCTATCAAGCTTAAATATGAAAACACATTGTGCGTGAGCACAGCTCTCGTCACTATGTACGCAAGGAGGGGGAGCATAGAGAGTGCTCAGGGAGTCTTTGACAGGCAGTCAGTGAGGGATCAGGTTTCCTGGAATTCTATGTTGATGGGTTATGCTCAGCATGGCTATTCTAAGAAGGCCCTTGAATTATTTAGAGGCATAGAATCTAGAGGCATTGAAATGGATGGAATCACCTTTATTGGTGTTATCATAGCATGTACACACACAGGGCTCGTAGAAGAAGGCAAGAAGCACTTTGAGTCAATGGTACATAATCACCATATCAGTCCAACTGTGGAACATTATGCCTGCATGGTTGATCTTTATAGTCGTGCTGGTAAACTCGAAGAAGCAATGAGTCTGATCAAGGAGATGCCTTTTCCAGCATCTGCAACTGTGTGGCGTACTCTGTTGGGTGCCTGTAGGCTTCATCGGAATGTGGAACTCGGAGAGCTCGCTGCAGAGAAGTTAATGTCACTTGAACCTTCACATTCTGCTGCATATGTGCTCTTATCTAATATGTATGCAGCTGCTGGGAGATGGGCAGAGAGGGCCAAGATAAGGAAGCTGATGGATGCCAGAAAAGTAAAGAAAGAAGCTGGATGCAGCTGGATTCAAATTAAGAACAAAGTGCATTCGTTCTTAGCTTCTGATAGAACTCATCCTATGTCAGATAAGATATATACAAAGCTTAAAGACATTACAATTCGATTGAAGGAGAAAGGGTATCAACCAAATACAGATTATGTGCTTCATGATATGGAAGAGGCGCATAAGGAGGTCATGCTAGCTCAGCACAGTGAGAGACTGGCCATTTCTTTTGGGCTGATAGCTACGCTTCCTGGGACACCCCTCCAAATTGTAAAGAACCTTAGAGTGTGTGGGGATTGCCACACCGTGATTAAGCTAATATCAGAAATAGAGCAGAGGGAGATTGTTATCAGGGACTCAAGCCGATTCCACCACTTTAATAGAGGCTCTTGCTCTTGTGGTGATTATTGGTGACTGGACTTCAGTATCTTCCAAATTCTATGTTATGGTTACTTGGAGGAGGCACAGAATGCAAATTGTAGGGCCAACCAATTCATATTTGAAGAGCTTACATCTTTGGGATTACCTTGCTAACTGAACTACAATCATACAGCCAATTGAATTCTTTGTCAGATTATCTCAACTACAAACATAGTATTAAATACATGGTAGCCGAAGATGTGGTGACTAGCCATAAAAATTGGTACTTTTGTTGGGTTTGAACATAAGAGCCACAGAGACACAAAATATGAATAGGTGGACATTTACACAAGAATCATAACTGAGATGGCAAAAATTGCTATGTTGAAACCTTGTTTTTGCAAAACAGTTCACTGGTAGAAGTAATTCATAGGAATTGCTTACACAAAGGAACTTTATCGATGATTGAGCTATGCTCTCCAGAAATCGAGTGGAAAGTTCCTGCATTAAATCAGTAATTTTATGTTCATTTACATAAAGTAACTGAGTGGAGAGTTACCATAATGAACAATGCTCCTCCAGCAGGCATGGTGGCACCCATTTGGTCCTAGACATGCTGGTGCTCAATAGACCTCATTGGTCTATATGCATTCTTCTCAGAGTTCTGTACCTCAATAGTCTGCAACGTCACTTGTTCATCTCCATGAAAACTTCCAGACTTCTTATGAGGGTTTTGCTCAGGTACTTGTCTCAGTGCCAATTGTGTTTTTGTTGTCTGATGGACTTGGATGTCACCGATCTGCTTGTATATTATTTTGTCTATGCAACTTATGTGGTAATTTTAACATATCAATAATTGACCTATTCTTGTTCCACACTGATATCAATGTTTGTATCTAGTAACTAAATCTATCTTAATTCAGTCCTTTATCCTTGAAGAAAACCTATATGCTCACAAGTTTGTTCTTTTATATTCATAAACTTAGAACTGATTATTTCATTGGCAACATGATCTTTCAGTTTTATTGATCTCTCAGGTTGCTGGTTATTTGAGGAATACAATTCAGCATGAAGGAACTTTTCTCATTATTTAGAATTTTGCATAAATAAGGCTATTCACTCTTTGTACTGTCTAAAGGCTGCTTGGGCGTTCTCAATTTCATGGTAGTTAGTACTTGCCATCTTAGTGTGTGGCTCAACACCAGACAGATCTTCACCATCAGGAGTCTTTAAGTCTTTATGGTCCTTATTTCAGTTGAAGTTACATAGCCAATCCTGGGCATCTGACAGACTCATCAGCAGCAACCTCAAACGAGCTCTAGCAAGGGCCTGGAGGTACCTGTACCTGCTGTCAACTGGAATTCTGTGACCGGAATTTTGGATGATGGTTAAGTGAATTTTTGTTGGCAGGAGAGTGCAGATGTAGAAAGCTTTGCACGTGTCAGAAGATAAACCTTCTTAGCTATCTTCTTTCCTGCACTATGCATATCCTTGTACAGGCTTCAGATATCCCCTGTTTTGCTGGTGCTGAAGAGGAAGGAAAAGCATAACTTGACGATAGCATACAATTACTAGGTTAGTATCAGCATTAGATATGGAACACATAATACTGTATGTGTGAGCTCTAACAAGTGTTTGTATATTTTCTTCTGCAGCGGGACATACGACATGGTTTGTTTGGAACAGAGGGGCCCTTCAAGTCCATTCAAAGAGAGAGTAGCAGGTGAGTTTGCTCCCATACTTATGGTGCTTGATGTTTAAACTTTATGGCTGTCATTCACGTTGTTCTTACTTGATCTTGATCTAATGCTTTAACATGTTTTTGCATAAAATGTATCAACAAACTTATTTTGTTGGATGTGATCATTCAACCTATACCCAACAGCATGCGTAGAGACCGATATACAATGTGACATCGAATCTAAATCTGTAATGGTTTCTCAGATTTGCAACCGCCTGTGGTTCTCAGTGTGTCAGAATCCGTAGGATATCTAAACCAGTGATAATCCTGTGTTGGCTTTAGCTAACAGAGACCAAAATGGTGTATATCTCTACAAATTGGAATGTAGCCTTTGCTCCTTATTTCTATCCTACTTAAAAGAGATAATCTAGATAAATTTTTTTCTAATGCCCAAGTTTTATCGAGTACTAAAGTTTTTGAACTAGTGCATGAAATCATGGAACGAACTTTCTTGTATCAAATGAGTCCTAACGTCTGTATGGTTTCTTTGGTGTTGCATTATTGTGGAAAGCAGAAATGTTATGCTTTTTTAAGTTGGTGCGAGAAATTGCACAAACTTTTCTATTTCGGGTAAGTTTTTTTGTTATCATATTTTTTTTACGAAAAATGTCTGTGTTACTTACGCCCTTCTGGTAGAATTAAGATTTAATACACTTGGAAAGAACTATTGTTGTAGTGCTTGCTGCTGTTTCAGTTGGGGGATGTTCACCAAATTCATTGAATCCATTGAGATATATGGAGGATTAGGTCATAAGCCTCCCTATGCAAAAATCTACGATTGGCTCTTCGCCTCGATCACTGAATTCTTAGTGTCTTGGTTATATATATGCAATCACTGAATTCTTAATGTTTTGGTTATATATGTAGCGGGAGAGCGAAGGTCATGCAGGAGAAATAAATGAAAAAATGTTTTTTCTTAACTGAGAAAAATGCAAGTCATATATTTCTTTTATAAAGCTGAGTGGATAAAATTATCAAGTTATTTACCAGCTAGACTAGTTAACTTTTTGAAAAAATTATCAGATGATGATTTCGACAAACTAACTGTCGTAAGTAGATATGGTACACCTCGGGGTTTCTGGATCAATGACTTTGGCATAGTTAGGCAAGCTTAACCATTTGTGCTGCACCTATTTCTTCCCTTAAGTGACAATGAAGGCCTCCTTTGATTTGAAATCTATATGGAAAAATATGATCAACTATATGCTTAGTCTAATGGTCCTGCGAAGAATGTTTCTTGGTCTTGAAGGAACATCTGGATTGATCTTTGGTTTAGCGGCCTTCCATTTAACAAAGGGTCAACCTTGTTCATGTAAGTAAAATATGATTAGATTCGATCTTATTGGTGACTTATGCATGCTTCTCGACAAGACTATTAATAACAAACTGCTTCTTGTTATCTTTGTGTAGTTTAGTCAGATCTTGAGCTGCTTTCACGCGTTACCTGATATCCTTTGTGATGATAGGCTACATTTGGACTCCGACACCACTGAGAGATATGATAGCAAGTAGTGCTTGTCTCTTATGTTGTGATCCAGAATCAAAATTTTCCTGCCAAAATTGTATTGGAGATCGCTCACCTCGGTTGTCATATTTGTCACCTCGCCGCCGACTCTTCTTCACTTATTTTCTTGGAATATTTTTTATGGCATGATATTACCACTAAACCAATGCTTATTGTATGTAATAATTATCAGTATTTATTAAGATAAATTTTGATTGTTTAATTATAATATTAATTCAGAGTTAATTGAGATCTTATTCTGCATCCGTCTCGGGATGGTGTCGAATTAAATAGTTTTGAGTTCATTTGATTCGGGATGCATTGAATCCTGTAAAATTATGTCGGAGACGTACTCCGTAAAATCTCTTCAAAGCTTAAGTTAGCTCTCGAGTTAGTGGTGTCAATGTACTAGAGAATGACTTTTGAAAGAATATACTTAAGGGGTCTTTTATAATGAGGTCTTGGATTGTTGCACTTGATATCATGGTTTAATATTGGGAACAATTATGTATCTTCTCCGATGTTAAGTGTAAGTGTGTCGCATCGAATCTGAAGGATAGAGGATGGGTCATGCGTGGGGTTGTAAAGTTCGAAGGGAAGAGTCATATACACGATAGATATTGAAGCGTGAGTCATATGACATGAGATGTTGATATTTTGTGTTACAATTGTACTCTACGAGGGAGATTAAACCCTTGATATTTTTTAGATCCATCTCGATGGGCTATGGATTTTTAATAATGAGATGGCCTTTAAGGAGATTACAATTGATAATTCCTTACTCCATCCAAATATCTTTAAAAAATAATAAAATATAATTTTACTAAATATAAACTCTCAATTATCATCATTTCATATAACTCATTATTTCCATTGGTCAATCATCCCAATCGACATTGAAACCCTAGATGCATCTCTACCAACCATCTTCAATTAGGAGGAGGAGAAGAAGAAGAAAAATGGATTGTTTGTAAGGAGTTGAAAGAGTGTTGAATTTAAGTGAAAATTAAAGATATTTACATCCATTTATAAAGAAATATCTTAAAAATATTAAAAAATATATATAAATAGTAAAGAGAGGATTGTAAATAGAAATCTCCCCATTGAAACACCACCATAATTGGTATTCAGCCCACATAAAGATAAAATTCACGTAGTTATACTAAGATAAGAAGGTATATCGTTGCAGGTAAATGATTAATTCGGCATTTGTTAAAATCATAACCTCTCAAATCTGTCGTGTTCCAATGCAAGCTACCACACGCAATTCTTTTAATATCTTATAAAAGTTAGGTCTAGTTGTATTGTTTTGCTCTAAAAAAATATATATGCACATCTCTTTCTTGTCTCTACTTTCATGATCTGCTGCTGCTGCTGCTAACCCTTGGTCTTGTCGAACAGCCACGATCGGAAATGCCTTCAACTCTCCTACCTCCTTTTGCTTTCGCGGGGCACCATCTCTTTATTATAAGATCTCGATCACAATGCATACAACATACTTCTCCTTTCTCTGTCTCTTCCACGTCCATGCGCAGATATCAGAAGGCTGAAAAATGATTGTGCAGTGGTTGATGAATTATATGCGGGTCCGCTGTGGCAGGGACGACACTGTCATTGGCAACCAAGCTCCTGCAGTGAGTAAAATATACATGCAGAAAGTCATGTGGATGTAGGGAGGATATATAGCCAATTCACAACATGAGAAAAAGAAAAGCAAAGCAGAACATGTTTAGATATGCCAAATCTATCATCACAGGTTAAACAATGGAGAAGAAGCTAACGGTCAACCATTTAGGATTCGCCCAATGATTGACAAGGCATCTGTAGCACTAAAAAGATGATCACGAAGTGACTAGCTAGCGCACAGCCTTTGATAATATAATTGGATGGATGCTTCTGCGCATCGTGGAACAGACTATTTTACGAAGCTCCACTTGGTTGGCACTATGATCGGATTAGTTTTAGCTAGCAAAATGTGATCGACATGTACATAAAACTACGAGAAGCCCCCCTTCCACAGAGGAATGGTCATGTGCATATTACAAGAAGAAACTAGAATGCATGCATGCATGAGCAGCTTACTCTTGAGGGCGAGAAGCCCATAGGGAGCTCAGAGCACGTAGGCGGGTGAAGTACTCTCCGATCGCCAGGAAACATCTTGCTGCTTGTTTGGTCGTCAGCTGTTGACGCAACTGGTGCAAGGTTTGTTGTCTCAAGTTGTCAGCCTGCATCAGGTAAAAGGGTAGAAGCTTGTTCTATCTTCTTACCTTGTTGACATGATGAATAGACATGCAAAAAAACAGCGGGAGGAGGTTAAAAAGAAGCATGAGTCGGAGCAAAGATATATCTGACGACTTGTTCAAGAGGATTGTAATGGTTCAAAAAGGCTATCTTATCTATCTTTCGGTCTTTTATTTTTAGTATCTCCCTCGACGAAGAAGGACTCCACCTCATGGTCACATTAAACAACAAAAGAGGATCTTTTCTAAGGGTATTCTCATGCAACAAAATAATAACATCGACCAAGTTTACTTTGACACGGCAGACATTAGTTGGATATCAGTTGGGAATATGAGATGAGTAGCATGCATGTTTGTATTGTATTGTATTGTACTGTACTGGACCATCTTGGGGAAACAAACAAACTAATCGCATTGTCCATGGAAATGAAAGACTAGCAAGTTTTGGTCCGTTTCTGTTCGGATGAAACAGTGTGTATAATTCAAATAGCTTTGTATTATTGGGGGTTGGATAAGTTGATTACCTAAAAGCCAAAAAAGAAAGAAAGAAAGAAAGAATATATAAAGGTCATTATTATCACAAGGAAAGAGAAGAACAAAATAAGGGAACTCTTTTTGAGGTATTCTAGTAGATTTGGTTTTAACATGATCTAATTTTTATTCTATTAGATTTAGTTGGATGTTTTCCTCGTTGAAACTCTAGGCAAGAAGATGATAATAGTTCAAACCTGGCCGATGAATCCTTCGAGGTCGGCAAGCTTCCCCATAGCAATGGCTGCGTGGCCCACATAATTTCCAACATCGATTCCGTCGCTGAGAGAACCGCCAGCAACAGTTTGTCCCAAAGACTGGTGGACTTGCTCCAGGCCCCGGGAGAGAGCCTCCTCCGCCTGCTGCGATGAATGCTGGAAGCCGCGCATCCCCATCCACTGTTGGTCCGTCAATGGATCCAGCTGACGTATCAGGATCTGCGCTTCCACTCATCAGCAATTAAACTAGTGTTATGCTTCCGTAAAGTTGGCGCAGATGAGAAGGAGCTGAACTCTTACCTTGATGAGCTCGGAGGGCCTAAACCCACCCATCCACAGGAAACAGCGCTCCGCTGGGGTCTTCCATATTCCATTCAAGAGGTGGAATACATCCGATTGAGCAACGATGGCTTTCAGCCGGAAGAGATCATCATAGTGCCTGATGCAGTGATCTACGACTACACCAAGATTGTCGTCAGGAAGGTGAGCCTCAAGTGCAGCTCGGAGGTCCGACATGATCTTGCAGTTATCATCCAACCATCGACCGTACTCCATGTCAAACATCGCAGCGCCTGCAGCGCACAAGCTTTGGGTAACAGCAAGCAAAGGGAAGTGGCGATCCCCCTTATAGCCACAGTGAAATGACAACTTTTTCTTCTACTACTACGAAAGGCGTGTTGAAATCGATGGGTGGAAGTGTGGCTCATTACCGGAACTGATAGCCGCATTACCGCCTGCGACTCCCAAGAGAAGGCCCTAACACGGAATAAATAATCAGATAAATCCACACACTGTTGGCATCAGAAGAACATATATATACCTGTGATCTTGCTCTCTGGAGATCTTGCTCTAGCTGCTGAAGCTTAATCCTACTGGACTCTAATTGTTGCACGTAAGCCTGTTTATTTGGGATAAATTGGTTGACTCAAATATTAAACAAACATAATAAATTACAGCCAGGTTGTTTCTCATTAAAGATTCGGACAGCGTACCTTTTTCTTCAGCCGACTCTTTTTGGCTGCCTCTCGATTTTGAGCTAGGCGCCTTAATGTCTTGTAAAAACATTCAAGTAAATGAGCTAATCTCGTTAAGGAAACAAACATGCTGTAATATCTGGAACTCCAAAAACATATCAGAGGGGTTTTGTTTGATTACTAAAACGCAAGCAGCATGACAACACGGTGGGGGCTTTATGATCAGGAGATCTAATTACAACACGGTAGGATTTTTCCTTATAGATCCACAATCACTCTTTTTTGTTTTCGGCAAATTTTATATGTTTTATCTTTATATATATATATATATATATAAAGAGAGAGAGAGAGAGAGTACCTTGGCATCAATTACTTTTCCGTCCCTTGCTGCAGTTGAACCTGTCATCTTTCTCTGAAACATGCAACGCAAAAATGGTTGTTTAGCTTGGAGTCAATATTCGTATCTTTCTATTATCTTGACAGCATTATGAAAGCATGTACAGGAGAAGAATTTTATCGGTGAAGGTCAGATAACAACAGATATCAGCACGCACATTTACCATTGTTGCAAGTTCAAAAGCCCAAGAATAAACAAAAGATAATGGCATGTTTAAAGTGGATGCGAATACTAGTATCCAAACTTTTTCTCTCACAGAAGGAAACCCCTTAGATAGATCGATAATCTGACTGTTGAAAGATGCAAAAGCTATAATTACTGTATTATGAGACTTGGGACACGAAACAAAGTGCTTAAGAATAGGGTCCCTGTAGTGGGGGTTAAATGATCCAGATTTAGAATTTGTTATCTGGGAAAATTGAGCTACAGATGGTGTATGACAAAGCAATCAAACAGTACCTCTTCTTGGGAAGAGGGATGAGGATTTCTTGCTGCTTCTGTCCTGGAAGCACCACTTGCCATCATCATCTCTTGCGGCCGCTTGTGGTTAGTCGACTGGTCCGAGGAGGCCTTCCTGCTATTTGGAAAGTCCGATTCCAGATGAGATAGAGAGTTTTGAGCTGCGCCGGAATCAGTGCTTCTTGCTGACTGCGTATTCACCTGTTGGAAACAAAAGTAGGCGCCATAAAGCCTAAATGTTGCGGCAAACCATCTTCTCCTTTGGCGGTCAGTTTTACACTTACTACGACGGCAGAAACCCAAGTCAAACAGGTAAGACCTTACACTGGGAGTTTGCTGAAATCTCATTGGCCACGATGGGAAGATCTCTAGTGTTGCGGGGCTGGTTGCAATAAAAGCTGCAAGAAACAGGAGATGCAGAAGATCAAAAAAGATATCTAAAAATGAGAAAGAAATGAGGAAACAGTTGTTGGTGCTACAAAAGGAACTTTATTCCTTCCTCTTTTAGGAATTGCAAAGAGTTAATAAAATACTACAATAAAATTGAGAAGAGAGATGGTGTTCTATCTGTGGGGGTGGGGAGTCAATTAGTTTCAAGGCATCATATGATCATTGTGGTGATCTGTTGTTGATGTGTCTAGATGTGGAAAAGTAACCAAATGAGAGAGAATGAGAGAGAGAGAGAGAGAGGCCTACACTTTCTGTCTTCTGTTTCTCTTAGGCCGTCGACTCCCTGCATGAGAGCCTCCTCCAACTCTCCAAAGTAAGCAGCTCCTTCCTGATCACTGAGTGGGCAATAAAAGTCCATCTTATCATCAAATACAAACATAGAATAAGAAGAAAGCAAAAGGAAATTGTTTTTACCCCCGGGTTATATCCAGGCTGATATTTGAATGACTCAAAGAATTAAGGTAGGATGGATCCTCCATCCTTCATGACAATAGATACAAGGAACCAGAAAAATAAAGTCGAAGAACGAGGAGGAAGGCTGGATAGGAGACTCTGAGAGGAAAACGTAAATGGATTAGGCCAAAACTTTATGAAATTGATGGGCAGATGTGTAGTATAATAAAGAATGGGGCATAACATACAGGTTGCTATGAAGTTAGAGGAGGAAAAGCAGCAGATAGAACAGAATAAAGAGCCCACTGATCTATTTGAAAATTGGTACATGCAGAAAGAGGTGATTAGTCTTAGAGGCAGTCTTTTAGTGAAAGAAGAAAAAGGAATGATTAACTAAACCTATGCAGTCTGTGAAGCTCACCTGATATTGGAGCCAAAGGATACGATCAGGCTAAATATGAATCTCAAAGTTAAAAGAGTTTCGAAGAAGATGATTGAACAAAGACTAAAAAAGAAAAGTAATTGAGGAACCAGTACAAGAAATTAGTCGCAGATGGAGTGTTGCCGATAGTCCCGTTAATAAGAGACCGAGTTGAAGGTCCAGAATCAGGAAGGCCAGTTTCACCAACTCTATGATTTGCCATCCAACTCTATTCTTCTCCCTCCTGAACCATTAACGATGCTCCATGTGCTGACCTCTCAAGGTTTGCGTGGTGCTGCTCCATGTCTTTACCATGGTCTCTTCCCTTCTGCAGTGATTGACAGGACGAAAACTGAGAACAGATTTAGGAAAAGGAGATCCTAGCTCGAGAGAGAAAATCCAGTAGCGTCAAATGGTACCATATACCTAGCCCAGGTTTCTTGAACATAAGTTCTTCCAACTATAGAGACAGAGATACAGGGAAAAAAAGTGTGCAAGTGTTCTTCAGAAGAAGCCAGAGGGTTTTAGTGCTTTTTATATAGCTGAATCATCTGGTGGACCTTGAGCCTCGTCTCTTCTCTGCTCCTGGGACTGGTACTTATATCAACACCCTAGTTCAACCATAGTAGTGTATAGAAGATCTTGTCCTTGTGGGATTGTCTGCGAATTTTTGGGACCCCAGAGAGAGAGAGAGAGAGAACCAATGGTGGTATCTTTTCGGCAGGAAGTAGCTTTGTCTCCAACGCCAGTCCCTGTAACAGACTCTGGTACCCCATTGCCACTTGAGAGATAAGAAGTAGTCGATCAACCTGCATTGCATAGGAAACAGACAAGACTCAATACAATAGAGAAAGAAAAAAAAAGGCAAGAAAAGATTTGTCTTATTCCCTGCTGTATGCTTTACGGGTGTGAGTTTACTTTGACAAAAGAAATAGCATTTTGTTGATAAGCACACACTGCGATGTGCCTCATGCCGATCCCAAGCAAACCACTAATGTAATCAGCCACCAAGCAGACTCGCTTTTCTTAATATTCCTGCCGGTTTAAATGGATTTGTTTGAGATTATCTTTTTCCTCATGGGTTAGCAGCATCCATGCCATGTCTAAAACAGAAAAAACAAAATCAAAATAAAAAACCAGGTCTCAACAGGATTCCACCTATAAAATATAAGGAAGTTTACTTGGGCACATATTTGAGGGGTTCCGAGTCTGCCGTGCCTAACGAAGCTATTTGCTTAAAAAAGAGAAGAGTCACTTTCAGCTGTGGAAGGTCGATAATTAACGCCGGTCGCGTCCTCCACTTGTACGATAAATTATTACGTTAGGGACACCTGTTCCTTTCCTTTCTGCAAGAAAATTGTTGCGAGCATTAGCAGAAAAGCAGTGGACAAAATAATCTATTAGACAAGCAAACTTGAGAAGAACATCCTTTCTTATACGGAAGACCAAGGAGAATTTGTTACAAATCCTCCCTGGATACCCAATCCATACGAGCCAGTTACCTAAGAATAGCAATCAGATACTCCTTCCAGACAATACCAAGTAATGGCATCCATTAGAGCTTCCCTTTCCTTGTAAACCTCAACATACTAAAATTGGTTTCATAACACAGTATCTGCATCTCATGTTACAAAATCTGCATGACAACCTGATGGAATCACCACAAACCATGCGGCCCCTTGATTAGAAGAAACCATCTTGTTAATTCATCCTTCGTCCATTCCCAATTTGCATTGTTTTCAAGTATGCCACCACAGGGACGGAACATAACCGACTACAAAAATTGGAAATGCTTCGTGGGTCAAACAAACACCTTGATAAACCTCCGACAAAGTCAAAAACTACACTTCCAAGCATTAGATAATTGACATATATATATATATATATGGCAATTGAGTGCAGATTCTGCAAAGATATCACTTTGAATACATATGGCAAAGCCAACAATTTCTCACATGATGCCTGTGGAATTTGAGATGAATGTGGTATGTCCACATATTCGCACCGTTAATTTGCAAGCATCCCATGTGCAGGAATAACATGGTTTGTATATTTTTCCTAACCAAGGCATGGGAAACTTGCAGTGATACATGCAACAAATTGGCCCCAAACTTCCTGCATGGCCTGGAAAAGAAAAGGAACATCTATCAGCACAGGCATCACCGGCATGTCTCTAACCAAATGAAAACATAAAAAAGCTGGAAGGAACAGATAAATTGCCACCAGACAAGTCTAATATAATATTCAGCAAGTAATTAGCATACTATAGAAATGGAAATTGTTCACGGAAAATAATTCAAGAAGCCAAAGTATAGGACAACCCACAATGATTGTCATCCAATAATTGCAGGCATGATCTCACTCCAACCAAAACTTCTAAACACAACTAAATATATCAATCCCTTAAATAAAAGATCAACTGTTGTCATGAAACTATATTTTGTATTCATATATAGCTCTTTAATTTGTTTGTATTCCTATAAAATTAAGGACCCAGCTTTCTAGTTCCAAGTAAGAAGACTGTCTTGAAGCGAACCAGGAAGTAACCTATGATTATTTTCGGACAGGTGTCATGGTATGTTGTGCATTATCCAGTCATGCCATAATGAAAAATTGGGCCTCTTATTTACCCACAGCCAGGTATGTATTTATCATTTATATGTGGCTCATATGACATCAGTCATTATGAACTTATCTAAGAGGTAATAAGCTATCCAACCACATCTGCTGCCGCTAACCACTACCACTGCCACCAACAGAGATAGGGTAATTAGCAATTGGGGGGTGGGGAAGGCGAAGTAGCAAGCTAGGTGTTGGAATTCAAAACCTAGTTCTGAAGATTCACAACGGGACAAGCTGATAGAACAGAAATGGAGAACAAAGAAAATGAAGCACAATACCATTTCCTTAGAAGTTCATAAAACAGAAAATATTCTGATTTGATAAATTTTTCATGCACAATATGTCAAATATACCTTCTTAGAATATGCAGGAAAATAGTTATTCACATGTTCAACAAAATAGTTGCTGCCTTCATGGCATTGAAATGGATAAATGTTCAGTCTGATTGGGAAACAAAGCATGACAATATTACAAGTGGCTGTTCATGATGCAAACTAATGGATGTATACTAGAAATTAATCTGAGGTTAAGTACTTATATAATTATCTTGTGAACTTGTTTTTCAGATTGAAAGATCAAAAGGTGGTGATGGAGCAGCTTCGTGGCATTAACTATCATGATTCTGACACTTGCCTGAAGAGAAACAGATTTTTCCATAGAGAAACTCCCTTGCCGGATGTTTCAGTAACCTTGGAAGAAAAGATTCTCAGACCAATTCCACCTTTGCATGTCACATCCTCTCTCATCCCGTTCCCATGAGAACTCTATTATGAACAGTAGCAGATAAATTCTAGCAAAAATAACAGAAACGCTGAGTGCTGATCCGCTGATCCAAAAAATTTAAATTGGAGCTTCCAAATGGAGGAAACATTAACAGGGTCAACAATCTTGCCAAAAGAATTGTGGGAACAGTTGGCAGAAGTTTACTTTACAGATAAAATATATACTAGTGGGTCAGAGATATATTATGTGGTTATGAAGATGAAACCTAGCATCGACAAAAGCTTATAGAGTCACTAAAACTACTTTTATAAAATATTACAGAGCAGATAAAACCATGTAGATAAGATGAACCATAGGTTCAGAAAGCATTATTCTACGATCTTATGGACTCTATGGACATTTAAAAAAAACACACAATTGTTATGCCAGAAATCCTGAACCAGATATAAGATCCTTTACCAATGAATGCACACTTATCTGTCAAGCACCAGTTGTTTATTAATTCCCTCATCAGATCAACAACATTGTTTGTTGAAAGTGGGTGTTGATTCAATCAACTCATGTAAATAACCTAGCTATTTAAGTACTCTTCTGCTGTGTTATCTAAGTGCTCTGTAAGAGTACGTCTTTCAAACATCATTGATTCCAGAACTGCAAAATAACTTACTAGCCAAATTTTGACATAATGCCATAATATCTATGTCACTTAAAGAAGTTAACTTTGCAAGCTTGCGATTAATGTAGAAGAGCAAATGATACCAATAACTAAACACATCACCTGATCGTCCTAAAGAATAGCACTTACCAATGAGATTGATCCCTGGTTTAGATGCTTCTGTCCTACAAAATGAAAAAGCAATGAAAAACAAATTATAATAGTAGATTTGAGTGACAAAGTCCTAAGAAATGAATTAAATGATAGATTAGACACCCCCCTAACTCAAAAAATCAACCAAACATTTATAAAAATCTAAGAAATAAATTGTTTAATAACTCAAGATATTAATGAAAGAATCTAACAGACCACAAGATAGAAATAGCAAGTGCACATTTAACTGATGTTTACATTTCAGTAATCTTTTTGCCTGTTCTTTTAGGTGAAGAGGACCACTCATGTATGGCATAAGGACTATCAATTGAAATCCATACACTGAACTGAAAAGTGTTGTTAAACCTTAGAAGCCTTTTATTATTACATGTTAAACAGGATGCGATCGTAAGAAGAAAATAATATTGTACAACAAGAAGGCATAATTTCTCAACTAGTTAGGGTCGGTCACATGGATCATTTCCCATCCTTGGGCTCAATATCTCTGTTTAAATTGTTCTTAGTAAAAACTTTAAAGTCTTTCTCTACGTCTTCTTGCACCATCAATCTTAATCACCTCAGTTCATCCAACTACAACATCTTTGATTCTTCTTGAAATATGTTTTTAATCATAGTAGATGATTTATTTCATTACATCCTTTATCAAAGCTTAAATATAATTCTTCATAAGTGACATTTTTTATTTTATCTTTTCTAATTATTCCTACACATCCAACTCAACAACCTCATCTTAGTCATTGTTTTCTATATATGTTGTTGTTTTATCTGTACAACACTTAGACATATAAAACATAGTTGACTTGCAATTGTCTCAATTTTTTAAATATAATACGCACATGATGATCACACAAAATCTCCCACATCTCTCTTCACTTTAACCATCGAACTTTTACTTTATAAACAATATCTTCATCAATCTCCTCATCAAATAATAAATCTAAAATGTTAGAGAACTTCTATTTATGAGAACTTCTTGTAGATTCATCTTAATAACTTCAGTTCTTCTCTTAGTATAATTAAAATTACATTTCATATGTCCCATCTTAGTTCTATTAATGTCAAAACTTCTATTTAAGAGAACTTCTTGTAGATTCATCTTAATATCTTCAGTTCTTCTCTTAGTATAATTAAAATTACATTTCATATGTCCCATCTTAGTTCTATTAATACCTTTGACACACACACACACACAAAGATAGATTTGGTAAATATCTCATTTTGATACTTACTCTAGTAGTAAAGCTTATAAGAACATGTAAGTGCTCTAAACTTATACTAGGTTCAACTTTGTCTATCTAGGGCTCATCACGAATGTGTATCAGGTGTATCAATCATTATCATCAAGTGCATTGGTCAGCACCTTGATCACAATGAAAGCATACATATATATCACAAGAGGTAAATGCTTAAAAAATAGCCAGAACTTATGGCACTAAAACTGCAGCCTGATCTAATTTGTACAAACTGCAGGTAGACTCAGAAGTGAAGCTAGATGAGAAAATTTTCGCATTGACATAAATATATTACCTCATGGCATGAAAGATGGATGAGATAAAAATTTGGTATCGTATGACATTCTTCACAAGTTTGTCTCAAAGAGAACACCATGAATAACGAACTTCTTTAAAATCATCTCCAAGCCCATGCCCAAGTGATAAATTACCACTTCCAACCCAGCTCCATGACAGCCAAGTTTTCGGGTGGTAATGATCCTTTCAGACCATCATGGATCAGTCCATCTCTCAACTTGTAACTCAAAGAAAGATGTCTAAGCTGAAGGAATAAAACTGCAATATATTCTGAATCAATAATCTCATCTTCGTTGTAAAAAATAACACCTCCAAAGATGTAGTCTTACTAGCCTGTGTAATCTTGATAATTTTTTAAGGTTATCTGCTTCCAAAATGATCTTATCCATGCCCACTGATTTGCAAATAAACTCTTCAATATTTGACTATTCAATGCCACTGTAGATTGTGAATTTGATGTTACAACTTCTAGAGCATCAAATGTCTTTAGACAGGCAGCTGCAGAAGTGACACATCTTAAGGAGAAGAGATTCAATCATGTAAACCTCTGTTAAGTTGGTTCAACACCACTAAAAGAATTATGGTCTAATCCATCATGTCCAGGTTCTGCCAACCACATTGATCCATCATGTTCAACTAAGTGTTGTGCAAACAATGCATAATAAATTCTGTATTGTTCCTCTAGCATATAAGCCAAGAAATTGCTGTGAGCAGCTGAAAACTTCTGGGCAATGATAATGAATTGAAAGACACTAAAAATGACAGTACTTAAAAGTGATCTGTATTGAGGTTCCCCAAATGCTGGGTAAGTTCACAGAACCAGTCATCAGCATTAAAAGAAAACGCATTAAGGTGTTTCCTGTTTGCTTCCTTCCATTTTTGGTAAGTGGAAGAAGCAATAATATGTACGGGCCTCAGAATGTGAAAGGCCTTCTATTTGTATATAACACAAGAGAAGGCAGAGTTAAAGTGGCATGCTAGCCTTCAGGAGTTAATCCCATTCTCTACAATCATGATTTTTTCCTTTTTCCTTTATTTTTTGAAACATAGAGGTATTCATTACTGCAGATTGGTTAGAACAAGCAAGACAGCTACTAACTAATCTGTCCCAAAGAAGAATTTGTTACATTGGGACTTGGCTAACCCAGCCATCCTATGTACTTAGAATATTAGGAAATTGACCGAACAGATCTGTACTTAGAATACCTAGTGGCCGCACGCAGAATGTATCCCCACAAAATTACAATTCCTGCAACAGCTATACAAATTATTAAATCATGACAAATATTAGATTATCAAATACACCATAAAGTGTGCCACAATTAAAAGTTGACATAAAACAAAGAGAGAATCAAGCAAAATAGAAGAATCAATATAATATACAACAAAACTGAATTAGCAATATAGAGACTCGAAAATCTTAATAGCCGTTATCTCGATCCAAAGAAACCGATGGGAATTGGATGACTCGCTGGCCCTTAAAATCATTTACAGAAAGCAACATACTAAAATCTGCAATGAAAAATTTTAAATTCCATTACAATCTGAGACATCAGTTTCATCTATAAAGTTCTAAACATTGTATTCTAAAAATAGTTAAAACAAATAGACTCCTCGAGGAATTTGTTATTCGAGTATCAAGAACATCTTAAGGAGTCACCATTGGAGTCCAAATGCCCTTTCATCGTATCAAAAATTGAATGACCCTCCAATAACTTTAATCTGCCATCCCTAGGCCATTCCTATGCCAAGATAGTTGATGTCTCCCGCAAGATAAACTTTTTATAGTTCTGCCCTCTACTTCTCTTTTGTATTTGTCATCTCTTTTTGTCAAGATAGGTCAGGATCATCCAGCGCTGATTTTTATGAGCAGTTACAGGTCAGCTATAAATGACCCTGACTCAGATTGTGTGACCTGAATCGCCATTGGTCAAATTTTTATAGAATGAAAAATCCCCTATAATTTGAGAAACAACAAATATCTCTTATCTTCTAATAGATAGAAACCTGAAGCTTCTTATACAATCACCAAACAATATTATAGATTTTGAGATTTTGTTCAAGAAACCAGTAAACCAAACTATCCATTGATAACTTGAACCAATAAGATATTAAAAAAAAAATGTATAACACCATATTAGCTTGATGTCTGAAATTGGAAGTCCAAATTAGTTTGAATTAGGTTGTTCTCAGTCGTAGCTTCCAGTACACATCAAGCAGTCCATTACATTTTTAACCCAAATATTTTAACAACTTCAAGAAATATACTCTCTCCTTCTGTGGTTGATAAGACATGTGAAGAAGAGAAACAATGGCAGAGTATTTATTATTTAAATGAGTTTCAAGTTCTACTTGTAAGCTCAATTAATATATATTTTCTATAACCGACAACTATTACTATTTTCAGGAACAAAAAAAGGGATATGGCTATGAGCTGCGATGACAGATTTGATTAGCAGATGATTTGCATAACCCATGTTTAAATCATAATAATGAAGTGGTGACCACACACATGAGATAATTATGACATAGTAAATAAATCAATTCTAACACGAACAATTTCAAGTCGCTTCCTCTCAAATTTCAAGACCATAAAAGGGTTAAGAGCCGATAACAGTTCTCGTTACCCTCCCATAATACGGATATTCTAAACATCCAGTAAACCATGGAAGCAAACAAGGGAGATGAATTGTAGATGGGAACACAAACCGAGCGATCCCAGGAACGGGAAGGCCCCTTCTGCCAGATCCTAACCATCTTATCTCCGCTGCAAGAGGCGAGCATCCCGGGAACGCCAACGTCCACGGGGTTCCACGCAAGGCTCCAGACCCGATCGAATGTGGCCTTACGTCTCCCGGAGTTCCAAGTCCCCGTCCAGGAACTCCATCACCGACCGTGGGAAGCGATCTAACGGGATCGCCGACGACGACGGAGGAGAGGTGTAGTCCTGGAAGAGAATTCCGAACCTGGGAGGAACTAGGGTTTTAGAAGACATGCTCTCGCACTGGAGCCGAGAGACAAGCGAGGAAAAGGACGCTTTTATAGGGGCTTATCGCCGAGCGCTTGCGTCAAATGCCGTTCGTGGGCAGAGAATTAAGGGACGGGAAGGAATTGTCGGTTGTTAGCGGCACGTGAATCTCACGTGGTAACAGTGAATTGCTATCTTCTCCTACTAATCATTCAAACGGGGGTTTTTCAGGATACGGATTTTTAGGTTTTGAGTCCGTTTAAATAACGTGGATGTACGGCTGAAGTTATCGGGTTTGGACTTGAATCCTACGTGGTCCTAACCACGCTGTTCTGACCCGAAAGCATCTCACTCGATCGATGATGAGTGTCACAGTAATAAATGAAACGTTGATAAAATATCAAAATTTTAAGATTCATATTGATGGTTTGTTTGTGATCGTTGAAATTAGATCAATCGTGTGTTTAAACATAGAAGTGAGAGGTCCTGTTAAGTGGGATATACAAAGTTTGTGCTGGATATTTTCATACTGAATTGATGATTGAGTCCAATTCTCTGATCCAAGAATCTTGAAAGAGATAAATATAATTATTTAGAGATACAAGTAAACTATTAAGTCAAAAATTAATTGTCTGAAAGTTGGGTCTATGCTAATTGAGATTCTCTTTTTTACATTGATCTGACTTTGATTCACTTAAGAATTATATAATTCTTATAAAACTGAATCACTAGGTTCTCGATAATATCAATTCGAGAATATCATTCCTCGAATGTTATCATTTATGTATCATGCTTACTTATTTTATGATAAGATTATTTAGTCTCATATTGATTGAGGTGTATGAGAACCAATGATTCGTAAGTCTATCAAATCTCTTTTATCCTTAAAGATATTTTTTAGAGCTCACATGTCAGATAAAATTATATGTCTATATCTATCGTTCATTAATTCCTCACGAACCTACAAAGACTGCACCGGTGAGACGATGACCCTATTTCTGT